AGCAATGAGTGAAAAACTTGGCTGTGAGAAACTATGACGTGAAGTGAAGGCAGGACAGACGTGGTTCATGACTTTGTATGTATGGATCACTTGGGTTGTTACCAACATCTGGTGAAAATTTCATGTCATTAGCACCTCTAGTAATATATTTACTGAGAGAAATGGTGACGTGTTCAATACTTATTTTACCCGCTGTGTAATCAATTCCTGTGGTTTCACAGTTAAAGCTGTGATTTACATCAAAGCACAAGAAAACATTTTAATAACATTCTTTTTGTGTTTTATTTTTTATACATTGATAAAATTATGAATAAAAGATTATTCTGTTTATTATCTGATAAATAAGAAGAAAATGTCTCTTTATTGTTTAAMAAAACATGTTATGACTTTAAATGAACAGAGTTCTGTCTCTCTGAAGGAGACCTTCTGAGATCAGGGTCAAAGACAGGTGGATCGGTTTCTTCCACCCCTAGGTGACCACTACATCCATCCAGGACACTCAAAGTACTTCACACTTACACACATTCACACTCTGATGGTGGTAAGCTACATAGTAGCCACAGCTGCCCTGGGGCACACTGACAGAGGTGGGGCTGCCATGCACCGGCGCCACCGGACCCTCTGACCACCATCAGTAGGCAAGGTGGGTGAAGTGTCTATATTTATTATAGTTTATTTAGTTATCATTTTTTCGTTTTATTCGTTTTTATTTATTTCATTTAATCAAAATGTTTTTTCCATTTCAGTTTTGGTTATTTAGTTAGTTTTAGTGAACTATAAGATAAATATGACTGTCTTGACACGTTAGCTTCTCTCAGCAGCTCCATGAAAAACAAACAACAGGTAGCAGCAGGTTGGAGACAACTATTTTCATCGTCCTAAAATAATCACACAAGTTTTTAGTTGGTAAAATTAAGTTACATAATTATTTTAGGAAGGTGTTGCCATAATGGACTGATTTAATGATGTTCCTGTGAGTTAGGTAACTCACAGGAACATCACAAGCTGGAGGATGCATTGAAAAATATGTTTATTCAAACTATAAAAAAACTAATACTAGAACTAATAAAAATAAACTAAACTATAAATAAGCATTAAAAATGCAATAATAACTAATAAAACTAGCAAATCTACTGTAAAAACTAATTAAAACTAAATGAATTAAAAGAAAAAAATCACAACAAAATAAAACTAAACTATTACTACTAAAAATCCAAAACTATTCTAACCTCATCTCAAACGTGTTTAAGTAGAAAATGTTGGCTGTGACGGTGCAGTCTTACCAGTTTGTCCTGGTCCAGACACAGGCCCACTACAGCCCCCCCACTGCCTGGTAATTTTACTGCTGTGCCGAACTGCAACAACAACACAAAAACATTTACTGTAAATGTGTAACACAATAACTGCTTCTGCTGACTCACTTTTAGAGATTAAAAAAGCACAAACATCCATTCAGTCTTTCATCTTCTGATGCTCTGTGATTGGTAGACATGCAAACAGGTCAGGGAGGGAAACTACTACTTTATTTATAAAGCAACCACAGCTGCAACAAAGTGCTGTACATGTAAAATAAAATAAAAAAAACATAAAAATACACAAAACAAACAAACAAAAAACTCTTCAATGGTTTGACAACTATCTGACCAATAGATCTCAGTGTTCAAGTAGCTTCCTCTTCTCTCCGATATCTCCAAAGTGGTGTTCCTCAGGGGTGAGTGTTGGGGCTGCTTTCATTTATTATAGGAATATGGTAAATAGACTGTACTTATATAGCACCTTCTCAAAGTGCTGCACACTACAATCTGTGTCCTCATTTACCCATTAATACATTTACACATTCACACATTTACCCATTCATACAACCCTCTGTTAGATCTCTACAAAGCTAACATGTACAATCATCTATAGCAGGAGTTCGCAAAGTGGGGGCCACGCCGGGGGGCGCTAGTAGGCCTCAGAAATCTGGATGGTTTTCTATTTCTTTTAACTTCTTTTAACTTAAGATCTGTCAGTTGAACCTGGACATGTTTGGTATCAAAATAAACCTAAGAATCATGGCTAAAAGCTCATGGAAACTATTTTAACATTCACCAAACACAGTTAAAATGTCAAGCAGCTGAATCATAAAAACCAAATGTATAAAATGTCATCACTGCAAATCTGTAAATACACACAAGCAAATCTGTAAAGGAAATTTTTTGACGTTATTTTTATAAAGCAAATCAAAATAGACACCAACATAGGTTATAAAGTGTGTTGAAAGTTTTTTCTACTTGGTTTTGAGTGAATATGATCCAACTGAAGTCAAATATAATTTCTCATTATTTCATATAATATACACGGTGACAAATAAATGTTTGGATAACTTTTCAAAAGAATAAACATTCAATAACAAGTCTTTTCAGACAGGTAGGAAAATATAATTAACTTTTGCAATTAAAAACTTCAGATTTCTTAACATTTATTAATGGTACTAGCATGGTCTGTCCTGTGCAGAATGACTAAATTCTTTTTTTTTTCTTTACCAAAACCTCTGTAACTTTGTTCCAGTTCTGTTCAGTCTGAAGCTAGCATAGCAACGGACAAGTTTGTAACAAAAAAGGCCAAATGAAGCGACCAGCAGCCCTGCTATGGAGGACACGGCGTGAAAAACTCCTGGCCAAGTAAAATCAAGAAGTTTGAGGCAGCATACATTAAGTATGGCTTTACAGCTGTTCAATAGTGAATAAAAGTGAGGACAAAACATTCTAAAAAGTTGATATTTCATTACATAAATTGATGTATTTTATTGTCCACTTGCAAGGGGGTCCACAGCCAGAAGCTAAAGTTGGGGGTCTTGGTATGGAAAAGTTTGGGAACCCCTGATCTATACGAATCAGTGCTTTAAACCACATTCATACACTGAGGAGACACACATAGGYGGGGGGGGGGGGGGGTTAAGTGTCATGCTCTGTGACAGAACAGCAGTGGAATTGAACATCCAACTCTCGCATTAGAGGAACAACTCCTCTAAGCACTCAGCCACAGCCACACAAATAGTCTGAGTTTAAATGTACCTTTTTATGCAGATGATACTGTATTATATTGTTCTGGTGTCTCACCTAATAATGCTTTTAATCAACTACAGTCAACCTTTAATGTTTTACAGACTAATCTTTATCACCTTAAGCTTGTGTTAAACGCAGATAAATAAAAGGTGAGGCTGTTTTCTAACGGGAGATTCAAACCTAAGGATCTTCCAGTCATTATTACAACTGAGGGTTTGCAAATTGAAAAAGTGTCTTTTTCTTCCCATATTCAACAACTAGTGAAGAGGCTGAGATTAAAATTGGGATTTTATTTCAGGATTAGAAGGTGTCTATGTTTTGAGGCTAGAAATCGACTGGTTGATGAACGTTCATGTCTTTACAGGACTATGGGGACATTTTATAACGCATGCTTTTCTTAAATGACACTGTTTATCATGGAGCTGTAAGATTTATAACAGGTTTAAAAGGTTTTACACATATTACACATTATACAGTAGGGCTGGATGGACGGCCACTTGTAGACTATATTTTTATTTTATTTTATATTTATAAGGCCATGCCAGGACTTGTTCCCTCATACTTATTATGGGAATTTATATTTACTTTCAGTGCCTAAAGTCTGAACGGAAGTTGGAAAGAAATCTTTTCAGTTTTCTGCTCCATCTTCTTGGAATCAGTTACAGAGCTACAGTACCTGAACCTAAAGGTGCTGCTGTCACTAAATGTTTTTGAGGCTGTTCTTACTGATTTAGGGAGAAAACCATCTGACTGTAAATGTTTTAACTGAGGAATCTTTTACTTTATCTATGACAGTGTAAACGTTGTCTGTTCTGTAACCTGTGTGTACCGCTGACAGTCTTGGCCAGGATTCCTTTGCAAAAGAGATTTTTAATCTCAATGGAATTTTCCTGTTGGAATAAACATTTAATAATAAAAAATAAAAACAATAAAATCAATTAAAATAAAAATGAAAACAAGTTTCAGGCTGTGCCAAAAGCCAGGGAAAAAAAACTTAAAGGGCACCTATTACGCAAAACTCACTTTTTCCATATTTTTAAACTTACTTTTGGGTCTCTACTGCTAAGAGAAGCAGACCAAACACCAAAAAAATACACCCAGCCGTTTTTTAGCTGTAATTTACGGAGCCCGTGAGGGGACATGGGAGATTTTTTTCTTTTGCGTTCCCACGCAAAAGTCGTTAAACACTGTTGTGCCTGCCGGTTTAACAACAAACCCACATGTTCACCATTAGCGAGTTAGCCTACTGCTTTAATTCAGCTTCAGAATGAATATATCACACAGCCACGCATGGAAGTATGTCATGTGTTAATATTTTAACACAGTGCAGCCACACAACATCAATGTCAATTTCACGAACTTGTGGCGACACATCCTGTTTTGGTAACCAGATATTTCAAAATAAAAGTCTGATTTAATTCAGTTCATATACAAATCAATCTTTTGCGTGGGAACGCAAAACAATTTTGCGAGGTAACGCAAAACTATTTTGCGAGGTAACGCAAAGGTATTGCGAGGTAACGCAAAAGTATTGCGAGGTAACGCAAAGGTATTGCGAGGTAACGCAAAAGTATTGAGAGGTAATGCAAAAGTATTGCGAGGTAACATAAAGATATTGTGAGGTAATGCAAAGATATTGCGAGGTAACGCAAAAGTATTGTGAGGTAACGCAAAGATATTGCGAGGTAACGCAAAAGTATTGCAAGGTAACCTAAAAGTATTGCGAGGTAACGCAAAGGTATTGCAAGGTAACCTAAAAGTATTGCAAGGTAACGCAAAAGAAAATAATCTCCCCATGTCCCCTCGCGGGCTCTGCAGTAATTACATGTATTTTTAGGTATCTGGAAACATGGTATTTCTTAACGCATGTTATTCTGACGTCACAATAACAGTCACCTAGCAAACTAAACCAGAGTCCTGCTCCTCACGAGGCAACCCGAGGTGAAGCTCCGCCCACTTCCTCAAGGGACGATAGTTGTGCTGTTTTTACAGCAGCCATGGAGAACAGAGATGACTGGATTCATTTTATTTTTATCTTTGATGACAATGTTCTAACAACATTGCCAAAGAAAGTTGTAGTTTGTGAAAATAATTTCACTTTGGAAACTTCTACCATGTCGGGGGCGGAGCTAACTTAAACAAACAGATGGGAGGGGGGTTTCCATAGCAACTTCTGCATACAGCACGTTCTGGAGAGAGCTGAAGAACAGGAAGAACTGCAAAGGTTAAATTTCATTTTTTGAGATTCTTTTTGTGAATTAAATCAAATGAACATGTTTTGTATAGCCCACAGATGGATACTAACTTGTGCTAAGACCCCCATAATAGGCCGCCTTTAACATATTTTTTTAATTGAACAGTGAAAGGACTTGTCTGACAGGAAGAGGAAGTCTCCAGCTCCTCCTGGGGGATCCAAAGATATTTCCAGGCCAGACAAGATACATAATCCCTCTTTCAAGTTCTGGGTCTGCCTCAGCGTTTTGATCTACTGGGACGTCTCCAAAGAAAGGCATCCTAATCAGATGCCTGCATCCCCTCAGCGAACCCTTTTTAGTTCATCAGTCGATCTGTACGTCCCTCAGCTTCACATCCAAGCTGTGGCTCTTCCACAGAGCTAGTTTATAACCACCTGGAGACTGCAGCACCAGGGACCACCCCTCACCTGCTAGCTGCCACCCAGCTCACACTGCACCAGATCTTGATGGTCTTGACTTACAAAAAGCTCTGCTAAAAGATGACAGTGAAACCTTCAGCACCAACCTGCTTTGCCAGCTGAACCATCTTCAGATTCCCAGAGCCCAGACAGTCATCAGTGTAAACAGACCTGTGGGTTAGTTAACATGTTAGGGTGGCTACAGGAAGCACCAAACACAGTAACTATAAACCCAAAATAAAAGTTACCTTAAACTAATCTAGATCTTAAATCAGACGTCCAGCAGCAAACACATAGTTACAGTGGGTCAATCAAACTTCTGTATGAATAATAAATTTAGCAGTGGATGAGATCTAAAGATCCTGAAAAGGCTGATCCAGCTGGGACCAGTGAAGTGAGAAGGGGTTATCTGTGGAATCAAAGTGGGCATGTCACAAGACTGGGCGTGTCACACTGTGGGCTACGAGGCCTACATGACGGTATCCTTAGATCCTGCTTGATCTCTTTACAGCCTGACCCTGACCCCAACACTAAGGTTAACCAGGAGAAATGTGACCCAAGTAGGGGGCTCCAGAAAAAGTGGTGCCATTCAGTAACGCCCCTTTTTTGCTTGTCCAGTCAGGTGTGTCCCTTTAACAAAGTCTGTCAAATCAGGTGTGTCGCTTTAGAATCGCCTTTCCTTGTGACACGCCCACTCGTCCGCAGAGACCCCTACTAGAGTGAAGTGCTAACTAGAGTTGAAATAAACGAGGGGATTCTGACATTATCAGTCCATGAAATGGACATTATTAGGTGTTATCAGTCCCATACAATGGCTTCAGAGGGTCCCTACTGTGCCTTCTAGGCTTTTCAGACTGTCCCGACAGTGCCCCTAGTGGTTTAATATATCAATGACAATGAATGTGTAAATAAACAAAATATATTGTAATAAATTTTTTGTGTCCGTGTCGGTCTCGAACCCTGGTCTCCCACTCTCTGGTCCAACACTCTACCCATTACATTACCCTATTTGAAGGCCACAATATATACATCCGCTGGAGGGTGGTATCTTTAGCGCTAACCATGTCATTTGCTCTAAAGTTAACCTTAGTGGCTTTAAGCCTCATATTAACCAGTTTTTTATGCCTCATTTTAACCAGATGGTGGCTTTATGCCTCATATCAACCAGGTTTTTTTTTTGCCTCATATTAACCAGTTTTTTGTGCCTCATATTAACCAGATAGTGGTTTTATGCCTCATATTAACCAGATGACAATCAGAAGCCATTCTATGGGACGGGGAACCTGCTAACCGGCACAGGCGGGACATTCTGAAGCCTTTCAAGGGGACTGATAACGTTGACGTCATGGATGATAACATCCGAAGGGGTGAATAAACCAAGAAGTGTTGCTTGACATGCAGTATTACACATTCTGTATTTCTGCACACATAACTGGGGTTTGTTACAGTTCTGATCAGGCTGAGTTTAAATTTCATTCAAAGTTTTACAACATCAGGCAGTGGTGACAGTAATGGAGCACATTTACTTTTCGTAAGTACATTTTTTGAGTATCTCCTTTACTTGAGTAATTGTTTTTTTTTGGGTGCTTATGACTTTCACTGCACTACATTTCTAGGAAGTATTTAGTTACTTGTTACTTTTGGTTCAGCATAGTTTTGTAATCAGCTGTTGCTGTTTTTTTCTTGAAATGCAATTGGCCACACTATGTTCCTCAAGGGGAACCAATCACAGTTGTAGCTCACACCTGGGATATAGTTGGAATTACATCATCTTCATTAACGGTCGTGAGCTGAGCTCCACCTTCATTTCAAACAGAACCAGCAATGAAGACGACTGAAAAAAGCTGAGAAACCAGCCATGACCATATCTCAGCTCCATGTTTGACATTTTCTGATTAAAAATAGTTTGTATCCACGATTAGTTGTAACATTAGACTTTATTTGATAAACATATATTTTAACTGTAAAATAAAGAC